TAATGGCTGACAGACTAGATAGTCTGATTTCCAACTGATGCTCAGATGTGGCCCTCGCGAGAGGTATGATTTCTAATATTTGCCCATCACTTCAGCATCTTTATCTTTTAAGATTTACTATCTCTCATTTGTATTAAGCACACTGATGTCCTACAAATGGAACACTACATCATGAGTTAAATCAAGTTTCCTATATTTCTCACACTCATGAGAACACTATAATCCTATTTATAACTTGTTTCTCTCATCCTCGTTCCTCGCAAATAACCATGCTCCCTATGGTCAGCAATGGGTACGAGCTGGCTGTTTCAGCTATCTGAAGTCTCGCTGATGGATGCCTTCCTTTATCTATAGTTGAATTTATAAATTTCAAAGAGCTGGAACCACACAATTCACATGACACTAAAACACAGAACATTGGAAGCGATTTACTAGTGCAGATCCTCAGGAGCATAATACTAGGGTCAGGCTTATGAAATGCACTTATCCCTTGGCAGTACGATTACTATGGGAGGTACATTTATAGCAGATTCAGGTACATTTACACTGAAACTGGGAGTTACTGCTTTAAAAATCCTATAAAAAATATTAATCACTTGTCTTTTCTTGAAAGTAGTAGCAAGAAAAAAGAAAAAGAGAGGAAAGAAAGAAGGAAGGAAGGAAGGAAGGAAGGAAGGAAGGAAGGAAGGAAGGAAGGAAGGAAGGAAGGAAGGAAGGAAGGAAGGAAAGGAAAGGAAAAGGAAAAGGAAAGGAAAAGGAAAGAAAAGGAAAGAAAAGAAAGAAAAGAAAAGAAAAGAAAAGAAAAGAAAAGAAAAGAAAAGAAAAGAAAAGAAAAGAAAAGAAAAGAAAAGAAAAGAAAAAGGTACTGGCTTATTGGATATTTATGGAATCCAGATAAATGAATGCCTACTTTAACAGTGGCTGGAATTTTCACTATTTCTCACAAAATTAGGAAGTTGTTGAAAATCCTTTTCCCAAATGAATTCTAAAATGCATTATATTTAAATTAAATCCTCTAATCAGAAAACTATTTGACCATTTGCCACCAAAAGAATCTCTCTTGCTGTTTGTTTTAATCTTAAGCATATTCTTCCCAATTCGTAGGCTAATATAGTGTTTTATATTTGGATTTTAGACCTTGATAGTAAAGCAATGATTTTAATCTTTCATTCTGCAGCTACATAACAAAAATTGAATGATGGTTTGGCTATATTATTTATCTGACACTTATGAAGTCATTTGAAAAGAACTGCCAAATGAGCAAGTAAACATGGGTATTAGGGGTCTTTTTTTTTTTCAACTCCCGATTAGTGATTTTTCATATTGCCTCCTATTTCTACTCCTTTATTACACTAATATAACCAACAAGCTGACTGCATTTTCAGCAATTCCTATAAATAATCATTTCAACCAAACAAGAAAATGTCACTTAAAGTTTCTGTCCATCAGTTTTCACTCTGACATGCAAAAATTTAAAGTAACAACAAATAACGGGCTTATTTGGTCCACTCAAAGTGTGAAAGCAAAACTGAGTTACAGGTGACTTAGCACTGAAGTACCATTTAAGAGCTGAATCTAAGCATCTCCTACTGCTGTGGAAAAAAGAAAACTGAAGTAGGTGATCTAAAAAGCAATAGGACGCAGTTAATTGTGAATGTTTGGGAGTCAAAAGATTCTATAAGGCTATCTCCGGTATTGTAAAGACTAGTCACAAGTAGCAGTTTAACATAATTAAAAGTAAATAATTTCAAATGCAGTTCCTCAGCCCCCACTAGCCACATTCCAACGCCCAGTAGCTTCCTGTGCCATACTGGATAGCACAGATACAGAACCATTTCCATCACCGAAGAAAATTCTATTATGCCATTGGTAGCTATGTGATCTTATGCAAGTTATTTAATTTCTATGAACCTCAATGCTTTTGTCTATAAAATGTCCATAACATCATCTAAAGGGAAAGACTTATTAGAAGTTTAATGAGATAGAACTTAAAGCACAACACACAGTGCTTAGTACACATTATATCCAAGAAAGAGTAGCTATTATTACAATCCTATCTTGGGCTTTAATATGGTAACCCTGAGCAAGTCACTTCCCCTTCCCTGGCCCTCATTTTCCTAAAACTGAAAACTCTGGGGAAGTTCTTCCGGTTAACTTCTAAGGATGCTATCAAATTCCACCAGGTTAAATGAAGTGTTAAGCAAAAGGGGCCAAAACTCCTACTGAGGAAACTACTACCTAGGTTCTTAGAGCTTCCTAACTGATCCCAAGCATTCTTCCCAAAACCCCAGAAGACTGGCTCTGCAATATAGCCACGGTCTGGTGTGAGCTATTTATAAAGTCTGTCTTAAAAGGTTACCGGAATATCTTTCTGAAATTGTATATACTGTAATTAGAAGCTACAACCCCCTATTCCATGATGATAACTTGCCGTTTTAACGTCTCTTTTAAATGAACACTATCTTTACAGATGAATTTTTTTTCTCTTAAAAGCATTTAAACGAAAACACTTTTTCAAAGCACATACAAGTTTAAGTACAAGTTTTAATAACTTTTTAAAACCAGCTATGCCTCATGCATAGCCAGCTTGTGGGTGACCCTCGTGTCTAAACAAAGTGGGAATTATAACAGCCCCATGGGTGAAGTCCTCTTGCAGGGACACAAACATGCCCAAAGCTTTTACCCTTACTAACAGCTGCTCCCAGGGAGCCAGGAAATTCACCGAATACTAGGTCCACAGAGCCAGCTTCCAAAGAGGGGGAAACCACGGACCCCCACGCAAGACACAAAACCAGGGTCGCAGGCCGCTATGGCTGCAGACCTCTTCCCCCCCCCCCCCCCCCACCCGCGTTGTCGGGCCTTAGCTTAAAAGTGACGAGCATCTCAGGCAGCAGACATCAGAAGCGAGGCGGTGTATTTCTGCCCAAGGCTGGAGGCCTCAAAAATAAGTGTTATTCCAGAGCAGATTCCTTTTCTTCCGGGTCTGTCTGCTCCCTCTGACTCTCTGCCCATAACCACCACCATGCCTCCCCACCTTTCTCCATACTTTAAAAAAAGAGAAGAAGGAAAAAAAAAAAAAAAAGTGGCTTATTCCCTCTCCTCTTGCTTTCCCTAGCAGGGCCTGGAAACTGGGGAAAATTGGGATCAAATTAACTGCACATTAAAAAATAAACAGACAAGCCATCAGGAGATGCCCACCCAACAAAAGACGACTCCTGTTCCCCCCCCCAAAAAAAGTGGTTGAGCCTGGGTGGAAGAAGGGGAGGGAGGCGAGAAACCAACAAGGATGGAGAGATAGATGTGTGGATTTAGGGCCCCAGGGCCGGCCCATCCTGGCCAAAGTCCAAGTTTTGTTTCAAGAAAATGCTGGGCTGAAGAGAAAAGAAAGAGTTGTAACTTTTAAGGAAGTCCGCAAAAGGCACCGGCTGGGATAAAACGCCGCTGCTCGCCTCCGTCGGGGATGGCAGGGCAGGCGACTCCAAAGCCCCAGCTCCAGCTGCGCGCCCGGGAGGAGGGCGCCCGGCCCACGGCGCGGCGGGCGGCCCGGCCCCGTCTCCCCGGACACCGGCCCGGGGGCTCGGGCTCCCGCGGGGCGCCAGGACCTGACCTTTGTTAAAGTTCGCGGACACCGCCCGCGGCCCCCAACGCCGCCCCGAGTGACAGGCCCTCCGCACGCCGCCGCGCCCCCGCCCCGCCGCCGGCCCCCGACGGCCCGCGCGGCCCCTCCCGGCCGCCTCGGGGTGCGGATGCCTCCCGCCCGCCCCATCCCCACCCGGCGCCCCTCGGGGTGACCGACTGACCGGAGCTGCGCTGGCCCACACACCGGGTCGCCCGCTCCTTCCCGCCGCGCCCCGCTCCCCCGCCCGAGCTGGCAGCCGCCTGGCTCGCCGAGTCCCGCCGCGGCCGCCGGTTACCGCCCCCAGCCCGGGGGGAGTCCGGGGGAGCAGGACAGGAGGGAGGACGTGGCGCGCCCGGAGGTGGCCAGCTGCGGGGCGGGGAGTGTCCCGGAGAGGCCGGGCCGGGGGGCGGGGGGCCGGCGCGGGCTCGGGACTCCCCCCCCGCCCGCCCGCAGCCGCGGGTCCCAGGCCCCGGCCCGCCCCCGCCCCGGCCCGGCGCGGAGAGGCGGGCCGCGACTTGGAACCCCGTTCGCACGCCCGCCCCCCTCCCTCCACCATATGGAAATCTACAGCCTCAGAAAGTGACACGTCGAAGATTCCTCGGCCTCCCCGCCGTCCTCCCCCTCCCTCCCGGCCGCGTTCCTGCCGCGGAGATTCCGGGAGGGGGAGCGGATTCCTCGGACAAAATCTGCCGGGAGGCTGGGCGGAGGGGCGCGCGGGGAGGGAGAGCCCGGAGCCACTGCCCAGATTTGTGTGTGTGTGTGTGTGTGTGTGTATGTGTTTTCATCAAGAAGAATCTACCCGTTTCTTTCCCCCCTCCAAGCCCCGGCCAGCGGAGGGGACGGGCGGGAACCAGACGCGGCCCCTAGCGGAGGCCGACCCTCCCCCGACCCCGAGCTCCCGGGGTGTCCCGGCGAGCGCGGGGCGCCCCGCACTGTGGCGCCAAGTTTGCCCCGGGAAGCCCGGCGCGCCCCGAGCGCTCCCGGACGGGAACGCACTTCGGTGGACCCGGCGTCCGGCGGGGCTTTCCAGGGCGCGGGGACCAGCGGCGGGGTGCGGGGTGCGGGTCCCCTCCAGCCTCCCGCGCCCGCACGCCTTACCTTCCCTCGGGCTGAAAAGCGGGGCTCCGGGCGCGCCAGACACCGGTTCGCCCGCGCCTTCCCAGCCGGCAGCCCCGAGGATCGCCGCCGCCCCCTTCTCCGCTCCCGCCGCCGCCGCCGCCGCCGCCGCTCGCCTCCTCCTCCTCCTACTCCGGCCGCCGCCGCCGCTCCAATAACTACCAGGAGGGTTTGAGGAGGGATTCCGCCATGTCAAATGATGTCGGGACCACATGGGGGGGCGGGCCCCGCCCACGACCGTAAACTCCCGAGTAGAGCCGCCGCCGCGATCTCAGAGGCGCTGGACTGTGGGAGCCTGCAGGTCTTTGACACCGGGCTCTGCGTGAAGAGCCAAAAACTCACGTGGGTTCAGCCAGACGAAAGAAGTCGGAGGCTTAGGGGAACGAGCAACCCCTTAAAGGTGAGGGCTGCACGTTCTGCAAAAAAATCGCCCAATACCAATACGAAGGTAGTGTATGCTGAGTAATAATTGGAGCTAAGACTCTACTAGTATGACATTTTTACACATATATTAATTTTTTTTAAATCCCGACAAAAATCTTGTGAGCTATTATGTCACTCCCTTCTCTATTTCCCGCAGCACTTTGTTCACAGGCTAACAGAGCGTAAACAGATTGTATTATATCACGGTTAAAATGTCTATTTCCTCTTTTCAGGAACCAGTGTGCGCTCACAGGGCAGAGACTGTTCCTTACTCATATCTGTATTTCTGTATTATCAAACATAGCATAATGCATAGGCCACAACAGGACTCATTAGAAACTATCAGGTTTGTATTAATTAAATCAAATATAATGTATCCTGTTGTACAGTCTCAAAAGGCTTCATCGACTGCATCCCGTTTCACCGCTCAAATTTTCCAGGTAATCAGACAAAAGTTGTCCCAAAGAGGCCCCTTTCCTCCCCTTACCTCCCCATGTCTATCTGAATCATTACATTCAGCCTCAACTATTCAGCTACACAGCCGTACTCAGTACCAGAGGTAATGTATTACTTTCATTGACCTAAAAAATAATAATAATAATGATTTATCAGATAAAATTATAATGCATAGTACCATATTAAAGCCCAAGGAACATAAAAGAACATGGAGAAATAGTTCTTTTCCTTGTGGAATTTGCAATTCTTTTTTGGAGATGTGAAAGAATATGATGAATCCAGGTAAGTGATGCTCTCCCTCCTAAATGACTTCTTTTTCCAAATGATCCCAAAGGGGCTCTTGAAGCCATCTTTCTAAAACATGGTTCCAAGCCTAAGTCATAGTCTTGTGTAAGAAAGAAAAAAAAACAAAAGCGGTGGTTCCCCAACTCCTGAGCCACGCCCCCGCCCCCAGCTGAATTGGTGTGACTTTCAAGCACACCTCTGTCCCTTTGTACATGGTTTCACTCTGCCAAAAGCATATTTATTCCTCTACCCTATTTTAAGATCATTTATTCATCTTTGAGCTCCAACTAAAATCACTTCCTTCCCTCAGTCTCATAGCTTTTTCCCCCCACAACCCCACAATAATTGTTTTTAGTCCTCACATGTCCTGAAGTTATTGTTTATTTCTTCCATTTGACTGGGTCTTGTCCATTTTTATATCAACCTAGCATTGTGCTTTGAATATAGTACCCCAATATAAATGTTTGTTGAATAAATTGTAAAGTATGTGGAAGTATCTAAAAGACAAGATAAATTGGGCAAACTTTAGAGAATGGTAGGTTGAATTCAAGTGTTGAATGATAGGTTTGGCAAAGGAGGTGGAGATAAAAACATGCCTTAAAAATATTAAATTTTAAATGTTCATATACATTTTATCAGTGTTTCATTTGTCTTCTTAACCTACCACCTAACACCAGCTTTGGCACAGAATAAAAACCCTTTATAGATGTTTGCAAAATGAGAGGAAGTATGTTGTAATAGAAAGAACATGGATATTATAATCAGACAAAAGCCAGTGATGTTGAGCAAGTATTGAAGTTTTCTGAGCCTGGGTGTTCTTATTTATTAAATGCCAAAATTGCCTTTCTACTACGGTTGTTGTGAGGATTAAAAACCTCCAGCACCTGATTCTCAATAAATAAATATTGGTTTCGTCTTGAGTGAATGAATGAATGATGTATTTCCTGGAGGGCAGTAATAGGATAGATAATACAGTGAGAAAACACAGGGTGGAATAGGGGAGTTATAGGGGCAGGTGTTAGAGAAGCATCAAGTGATTGAAATAGGTTTCAAGGTTGATTATTCTAGCAGCCAGATGTAGAACCAAGTGTGTCAGAGGGTCATGCTCTCTGATACTCCTTGGGAAAAGAGAAGAGTTGGACCAAAATGATTGTTCTGGAAATGGGAAGAGGAGCCTCAACCCAAGGCAATGAATATTATTATATTACTAGAGGCCCAGTGCACGAAATTTGTACACGGGGGAGGGGAGGAGAGAGAGGGGGGTCTCTCAGCCCAGCCTGCACTCTCTCCAATCCGGGACCCCTCAAAGTATGTCCGACTGCCTCTCGCAATCCAGGACCGCTGGTTCCTAACTCCTCTGCCTGCCTGCCTGATCGCCTCTAACCACCTCTGCCTGCCTGCTTGATTGTCCCTAACTGCTCCCCTGCTGGCCCGATTGCCCCTAACCGCCTCTGCCTTGCCCCAGACACGGGACCAAGGATTCCCTCCCTCTGGCTGACCGCAGGCACCCAGGACCCAAGCTGTGCCCAGGCCAGCTGCAGTCACAGGGGACTGTGGGCAGGTAGCTTTGCCAGGTCCACAGCCGCTGCCGTCTGGGACTGCAGGGTAGGTGGCTTGCCCCTCTCCTGGATCACAGCCTGGCTGTTTCCCATCCCTCTCCCCCCAGTGTTGAGTGTCAGCCGTTACAGCATGATGGTGTGAGAGCGTGACAGCCATTTGCATATTAGCTCTTTATTTTATAGAATTATCTAGTTTTGACACCTCAAGTCACCTGCTACCCTAAGTCCCAAATTATTGATCCATAGTCATAACATATACTTTGCTTCAAAAGCAGTTTAGGATTTGCTCAAATACACAAATTAACACCCAAATGAAGATGCCTGAAAGTTAAGGCCTATAACAAAATATACAGACATCAAACCCTTTCATTGCCTATACCAGTGATCGGCAAACTGTGGCTCGCGAGCCACATGCGGTCTTTGGCCCCTTGAGTGTGGCCACAAGGTTTCAGTCACACTCTACATGCACGCCTGCACGTGGTATTTTGTGGAAGAGCCACACTCAAGGGGCCGCAGTTTGCCAACCACTGGCCTATACAATGTAAACAGAATTGTATATATATTTAAAAAAAAAGATTTGAAGTCATACTTCTGGATCTCAAATAACTTGCATTAAACAACAACAAAATGCAAATTTAACACAATGGAAATCATAAATTTCTAAAGTAGCATTGAAAAGGTCTCAAACCATTAAACCTCTGAATACTTATGTAAGTATAAACATTTTCAATTTAAACCTCTTTCTCAAAGATCACTGTGACTCGTGCTATGTAATATATAGAAGACCCAGCGAGGCTCTCAATCTCAGTATCCTTCCTCTGCTGATTGCTGGCGTTGCTAGATTCTCAAAGGCAGGCTCAGTCTTGCCTCTAATCTTGAAACCCAATCTTAACCTTAGATAGAGGGCATTAACTCTTTGCATCTACTTTTTGTTCCAAAGTCTTGAGCCAGATCTGATACGGCCTTCAAAATGAACATTGACAAAAATCCAATTAATCCTGTTTTGAAGAGTGCTCAGACTTTACTGGAGTACAAACTAGAGTAAAGGACAGCCATCTCAATCAATAATATGATCTAAAAGCAACATTGCAACTTCAGTTAAACACATTTCTCCAGAACAATTCAACCACTCACTGCTGTAGTTTCACCTTTTTTCCCTATTGTTCATTCAAAGCAAGACAACGGCAAATTGCAGCTCAATACATACGTGTTTAAGTGATTTTAAGCAAGAATATCTGTCCCACATTTATCAAAATATTCAGGTAGGAGGTGAATGACTGTCAGGGCTAATCAAATCACAGGGTTGATATAGAACTAAAGGTTTTCAGCCTGCTCTTCCTCCCAAAGCAGAACCTTTGCTCCCATGTCCATGACTGCTAAACACCCAGCCCCAACCTGAACACCACCAGCAATAGGCAAAAAAGCATCTGGCCAAGACAACCTATTCTCAGCAACTCTAAACCCAGTCTTCTGAAAGGCACCACCTTGCATTTTAACCCCACTGGTCCTGTTTTTGCCCTCTGGAGGCAGACAAAACAACAACAGTTACCTTCCACATGACTCCCCTTCCAATGAATTGACCAGACTTGTCATATGCTCCCTCAAGATTCTCTTTTCCTGAAAAAAGTCTCTCTTTTCCTGGGAAAAGTCTCTAACATGTTGAGTCTACATCTACTCACATGGCTTTCAGATCTCTCTCCATCCTTTTCTTCCACCACCTTTGGGCCTATTTATTCAACAATATTTCAGGTATGACCAGAATACAACCACGCAGTGTAGTTAGTACCCCTTCCTGCTTCAATTTGGACAAAAGGCTTGAGTTATTACAGTTTGATATTGTACTAGTTTTTTATCAGCCTCCTCATCCTATTAATTCATGCTTCTTCGATGAAAAGTTGTTACGCTGGGCATACATTAGGAATGCACTTGATTTCATCTTAACTGACTTTAATGTTTACTGGTTGAATATTTAATTTTATTAAATTTTATTTATAAGTTTCATTATCACATTTCACAGTCTACCTATAACTTTCTGGACATTGAGTCTATCATCAAACAACCTTTCCCAGCTTTGTGACATTGGTAAGTATAACAAGCATGCTTTCCATATTGCCATCCAAGTCACTGATAAAACAATACAAGGCCAAGGACTACCACTAGCAATCTTTCTCTAATTGGAGGAAAATTTGAGGCAAAGTTATTTCAAAAGTTATAAATCTGTTCATCACCTGATTTTCCCTGGACCATACAACTCTAAGGAAGCAGGTTGGGTCTGACTTTCTAGATACTCGTTTTTACCACTCTTGCTGACTCTCATATCTGATACACTCCTATGGACATTTTTTCTTCCTATAAGTCAAGACCTCAGTATTATATCTGGGTCTCTTCACAACACGTGTGCTAAAATAATGTCTTCCTAAAACAAATTTAAAATTGTACGTGGATAAAAAGACATACGTGTGTGTACCAGATATGTGTAGTGTAGTGTAGTGTGTGTGTGTGTGTGTGTGTGTGTGTGTGTATGTTCTTCACAGAGAAATAAAGTAAAGAATGTCTTTAGCTCCAGCTACATACCTCAGATATAAACCATTTTAGTCAAGAAAAGATTCTGAGACTTGACCAAAGAGCAATGAATTGAAAAAAGAAAGTAAATTTACTACAGAGGCAATTGGGTCTATTCAGCTTCTGAAGGGTTCAATGTTATACTTGAAATTGTTTCTCATCTTTTGTGTAGTTACCACATTATTTCTTTTAGTTCCTGAAAGCATGCTTTTTGGTATTTCACATGTAATTTGTGAGTATCACTAGCCAGGGGGTTAAATTTTGATCACATTAACATTTCTCTGACTCTGGCAGCCATCATTATTGACTTCTCATTCCCCTGGTACTTTTCCCAGTTCTTTTTAGAGTTTAGGAGTAAGTTTTTTCAGCTTGCTTCAGTAACTTGTTAACCCAGGCAGAGCAGCTAATATGGCACCTTCATCTGTGCTGAGCCCACCCTGGCCACCTCATAAGGCCAGCACTACCTCAGACAGACTCATTTCTCCCTCTCTCTGGACAAACTGTTATATTGATCATCAAATAGAGGGTCCTTGTCTCCCAGTATCTCATGGTTTTTAAATCATACACTCTGTTTCCATGAATTTGGTTTTTTAGATTCCACATACAAGTGATATCATTCAATATTTGTCTTTCCCTATCTGACTTATTTTACTTACCATAACATAATGCCCTTAAGGTCCATCCACATTGTCAAAAATGGCCAAATTTCCTTCTTTTCCATGGCTGAGTAATATTCCATTGTGTGTGTGTCGTACATTTCTGTATCCATTCACCTGTAGACAGCCACTTATTTAGATTGTTTCCATATCTTGGCAATTGCGAATAACGTGAGTGCAAATACCTCTCTGAGATCTTGATTTTGTTTCTTTTGGATATATACCCAAAAGTGGGATTGCTGGATCATAAGGTAGTTCTATTTTTTATTTTTTGAGGAAACTCAGTACTGTTTTCCACAGTGACTCTACCAATTTACATTCCCCCCCAAAGGTTCTCTTTTCTCCATATCCTCGACAACACTCATCTCTCTCTCTCTCTTTCTTTTTTTATAATAGCCATTCTAACAGGTGTGAGGTGATATTTCTTTGAGAGAGAGGGGTGGGGGGTGGGGAGAGAAACATTCATCGTTTGCCTCCTGTACACACCCCAACCAGAGATCTAACTCACAACCTAGGTATGTGCACTGGGCAGGATTGAACTGTTGACCTTCCATTGCACAGGACAACATTCCAACCAACTGAGCCACACCAGCCAGGGCTCATTATGGTTTTGATTTGCACTTCCCTGATGATTAGTGATATTGAGCACCCATTCATGTACCTATTCCCTATCTGTATGTATTCTTTGGAAAAATACCTATTCAGTTCCTGTACCCATTTTTCAATCAGATTATTTGGGTTTTGTTTTTTTTTTGCTATTGAGTTGTATGAGTTTCTTATACCTTTTGGATATTAATCCTAATAAATGTACCCTAGCACCTCACTGGCTCTGATTTGGTTATGTGTCAATCCTCAA